TAAGAACAAGCCTTAATGCAGGCTCCCTAGAATAATTCATTTCAGCTACTCACAGACGAGGAATCATCACATGTTTTTCCCTCTTTGCAAGACATTTTACAATTAATAATTGATATGAAGAAGCAGCATTGATGTATGAATCCCAGGACAACTGCTTTTAAAGCAGAAGCATATAGGTTTCTTTCCCTCAATCTATGAAGACATAAGCTTTAAAACTAACAAAACAACCTATAGAAGATTTAATCCTTTTACCCTATCTGTAGGATGCGCAGGTTTGTAAATAGGTATGAAATGTGTATTTGGGGTACTGCTTAAGCTCTATGGGAAAGTTTGCAACCAAAAGTATCAGTTAAAAATTACTATTTTCTGTAAACATCTGCCAATATTCCAGCATAATTTGAGAAGCATTTTGGGTTTTTCTTATCGTAGTGCTAGAACACACCACCACTTATGTCACGCAAGAGCAAATCTTAGGCACCCAAAAGAGATCTGAAAGACCAGCAGACACTTTAGCACTGTAGATAGAAAAAAGTTCCTGAGGAGGAAAAGTGGCTTTGTCACAACAATAGTAAGAGGAAATAATGGCAGCAGTGTGACACAGAACAGGAGACAAGGCAGGAAATGAGAGTACAAGAAGTAAGGACATGCATTTCTATCCTGTGAAAGTACAGAGAGCTACTAAAAGCAGACAGGATGGAACAGTTCAGGAGCAGCAAGGTTTGAGGTTTCCCCTGCCCCCTCCCTACTTCCTTTTTTGTTTATTGCCTGAATTCAGACCACCGGACACAGAAACTATGGATGACAAATCATATTTGCACTTCAACACTTAAATCTACAGTAGATGAGAATAATAATACTAATGCTTGCAAGTTATCATGCCCTGAAAGCAGAGGTACAATGTGCTTACACAGCCTTTCCCCTCCTCTCTCCCCAAATACTGTCTCTCAGCTTACAAAAATTACGGGGTTTACAACTGGCCCAAAGCTTACCTTCAGCTATTTGAGCTTCTTGTTAAGAAACAACCCTGCAAGCAATTATATGGAACAGAATACTGTGTAAATACAAGCACAAGACCTAGAATTGTGGTTTCAAATAGGCCTGTATTTTGCTTTCTTTTCCTACGCTATGGGAAAACACAGATCTGTACTTAGTCTGAAAGATGCACTCAGAACAAGCATTTTGTCACCTCAGCAGTATTTGCCTGAGAGGTTTTTAAAGAACCAACTATATATTTTAGGTTAGTTTTCTGCCATTGAAACAGACCCAGAAGTTATTCTGCTAAGGAGCTGGAAATTCACTGGGTCCTGGAAAGCTCTGAACAGTCTGCTTGTCTGCAAGCCAAACATGCCACAAAGCACTACCATGAGCAAAACAACTACATTTACACAGAGAATTGCTGTGTGGTTGCATATTGGACCCAGGAGAGACTACATATTCTGTATAGCTATTCGCTATACAATTCCAGAACAATACCACATATGAAGATTGTTGCATTACTACAGTGAATCAAAAATGCCTTTAAGGTTTATTGCAAACGAACACCTCATGCATATATAAAGTAAACCCTAAGAATTGGACAGTTAGTTTTTGGTTTTTTTTTACTTAAAAAATGTAACACGCCACCTTAACTTGAAGGAACAAATGTCATATTATGAAATTATTTTAAAGCCTCTCCTTACTGCAATGCCTTAGAATAGCAGTCAGACATGCTCATAAATCTTCCTAAAGTATAATAGTCTTTTTTTTCCTTCCCCTGTTAAGTTTCAGGGGAACTTTGGGACTAAACAAAGCACCAAGCCTCAAGTGTTATTGTTCCTTGCAGCCATCAGAACAGCTATGCAAGCCATTTTAAGGCGTCCTTTAACCTCAAATTGTTTCTAATAGTAACAGACACAAATAAGAATCAGTTAATATAATAGTACAATAAAAAAAAAAATCACTATTTTTCTTTCCTTTTATCCAGATGAAAACTTTTTGTTGCATGTTACCTTCAGAGAGTTCAAATGCAGCCAAGACAGCTCCAGGAGAGCACACTTTGCAGTTAAAAATAGCAATCACTGCAGTAATAATTTCCACATAGTGCATCAATGCAGAACATGATTTCCCCTAGCTCTTGGCACAAGGCTGCAAAGGTATAGCTCCAGTACTGTCCATGATATAGAATGGGTTGTAGTATCCCTGGTAAGGGAAACAATTCCATCTACCACATACATTGTGGGGTAGAAAAGACTAGCAGAAGAAACAAGCTAGCTTTTAAGCTACACATGCAGGACCATAATCAAAATATCAGAGTATGTCTCAGATATATATCTAAGCATTCCTAGCCCCTAGAGACAAAAGAAAACCAGTCTGAAAGATGTACCTCAGTATCCCCCATCAGCTAAGAAAATACAGCTATGCCTACTAAAAATTTCCTCTTCAATAAAGTCTAAATAACCATTAGATTAGATAATATAGTAGATTTCAACTTCAGGAAGAGCTAAGCCCAGAAAGAATGAAGAACACTACTCTGATCCGGAACAGTCCCTCCAAACAAACAAATCTACTTTCCTACAATACAAATGGCTTTAGAAGTATTGAGAAAGACTTAACTTATGGCAGAACACTCAATTTCCTTCTAAGACAAATCTACAAGTGTTTTAATGATCATTTTCATTTCCATTTCCATTCCACTCCTTTCCATGTTAGAAAGGGCTCAGACCTACAGAAATTGTTATTTGAACACGGACATCTTCCAGGTAAAACCAGGTAATTGCTATTCTTCATAACATTCCTGCAGATCTGACTCAGTGGTGTTTTCATTAGACCTTACCTTCAGGAAAACAACAGGATCACCTTAAAGGAGGGGCAAGGCAGTAAGAACAATATGAAAACTAGAGTGCTCTCTATTCACAGGGCATTTAAGCAGTATAAAGGCATTTTTGTCCTCCAGTAGAGTATAAGCATAAGGATATGACAAGAGGTACATACACACAGAGGTAGGAGTTCCTCAGTCTTGAACCCCACAATTCTCATAAAGCACTTCAAATACTTGACAGAAGAGTAACATTTAATCTGTTCTGGCAAAGTGTGACATACAAATATCCAAATCCAAAAAGCAATCCTGAGCCTCAGAGCAAACAAAAAACTTGTTTGCTTAAAGACAGCAGCTATCAGAAAAGTGGGGAATGAAACCAAGTGCTCTTTCAAAGGCTGATTTCTTAACTCAAAGCAAAGCTGACTCCTCAATTTTACTCCCTATACCAGACCAGAAATGGAATGCCATCAGTTTTATTCTGAAATACCTTTGTGGAATTAATTTATGGAATTAATCACTATAAGAGGCATTTCATACTGGGATGCATACATATTTATACACTGTTATCGGATGTTCAAGAAAACAATCTGCTTTCGTTTGGACACCTTCCTATGTTCACATTAAAGCAGATGAATTAAACTTCTTGTTGCTCTTAAGATGAGAAAACACAGCTCTTTCACCTAATGGAAGTGTTTTTGTGACTTATTTTCAGCAACCGTAAGAACTTTATTATTTTGCTATGTAAATAATCTGATTATTTTGTTAAGTAATCCAAACCTATTGGTTTGGACCTGTGTTTTGTAATTGGCAGGATCCCATCAGTTTGAAAACTAGGTCTAATCACAGATTAGTCTGTCTCAAAAGATAAAAACTCTTCAGACAAAAATACAAACATAATGACCAGTATTCTTTTTCCTGTCTTCTGTGTGGTCCTAACTGAGCAGCAAAGGAGTAGGAAGGGCAAAGTACCTATCACCAGTCATTCAAGACAGAAATTGAGTGTTTTGTAACACCCTCAATGCATCAAGACCAACGCCCTCAAACCAGTACTTCCAAACACAAGAGATCTATCACCAGTTCCCTAAAAATCCACTGAAAAGGAAGATGTTCCTGGATTTCTTAATCTAACTTTAGCTCTTTCTACCCTGATGAGTAACATATGGAGAGACAGGATATCCTGCACTTTAAAGACAAATTTGATTTACTTTCTGACATAGGCATGCCTATATTCTTTCCAATGTATTTATGAAAAACGTAGAATGTTTTACCACAGAAGAAAACAAGCGTTTCCACAAGACGGCATCAAACTCTACTCTCCCTGGTTGTGTACAGATTAAAGCACACCTTAAATATTTCTGCCATAGCAGAGATGAATCATCAGACCAGCAACAATCACCCCATTTCGAGCATGGTAGTGTTACTTAACACAGCAGTTACAGGTCATTTGGCCTCAGAAGTGAACACAGGCGCTTCAGGTGCACAACTACAAACAGTCTGATCTATTCTTTTGGTACTCCTGTGACCACACACCAACTCGTTTCAACTTGCTAAACCACAGAAATAACAACTTAATCACAAAAGAGCTTTTTATTGTATTGTCAAGTTGATTTTGTCTACCATGCAAACTACTGCAAGAAGCAGCATAAGCAAAGAAAACAGGACTACTCACAGTTAGTTGGAAACCAAGTAAGAGTAAGGGGGACTTGTCTCATCTGTCCTATGAAATCACAACCTTCCTGGACTTCAGGCATTAAGAAAATTACACCATAAGACCCCCACATTTGGCTCCAAGGATTCTCACATCAGACTAGATTCATAATCAATTCTGTCCCAGATGAAAAGAGGAATTACACACACTTTCAATGTTTCATGTTCTACAGAGTACTTCAGAGTTGCTCTGGTCCAGAAATTGCTAAGACAACACACATTTCTACTCTGTAGTTAGCAACGTTTCTAGAACTATTATATTATATTAGAAATGGAGCTAAAGCAGCCTATTGTCTTGGTACCTGCAGTCTTAAGTTAACACTCCCAACCTCTTTCAGCAGTACAAAGGCAAGAAAGTGTGAAGAGTTTCAGGTTGAGGGAGCACTGCTCACTGCAGTGGAAAATGACTGCTTTCATCACTGAAAGTAAAAGCACCTTCTCGAAACCTCTGAAATGAAGCTCCAGTACATGACTGAGGGATACAAACTGTTCGTACCTGCAGCTATGCACTTTCCTCTAGCCGTTCCAGTCTTCAGTCTAAAACAGAGAAGGAAAAAACAGACACTGAGTACTCTGGAGTTGAAATTAGATAGTAACAATCATTGCAACATGAACTCCACCTAGTAAAATGCTGAAGACTGTGAAAGTAAAGCATATTTCTAATAAAATAAGTCATCAAAAGGTAGTAAAAACCCTCATTAGACTGAAAAATGAAGTTACACGTTTCAAAAATATAAAGAAAACATGAAAGGGCTTAAAGGAAAAGAACTGTAAACATGACATGGCTGAAAACAGAAGCCTCATAGCTTCCTAGTAAGATTCAGTAGACTTATCCTACCTGTCTGGCTTTTTGGCTGCCATGACAGAAGCAGAGTTACCAACAGCAATCCCCACAACCCTAAACTCCTGTATTACATTCTTCTGACAGCAGCAGCACCAACAGATGACAGACAGGTACTCTTATGCAAGACAAAAACTTATGAGAAAGCTCTTAATTAGGGACCACAAAGAACTAACACCACAAGGGAAAAGGTGTTATTTCTACATCTTAAGCAAATCATCAACCAGGAACATCACAGATTTTCTGTACAAAGACCTCGTAAGTAGGTGACACTACTCTCTGCTTCAGACTTCTCTTTGCAGATTCAAACGGCCCCACAACACAAAATAGCAGATATTTAAATACAAACTTTGGATTTTTAATTATCTTTCAAAGAATTTCTTCTCTGCTTTCTGCTAGGTTAGTTTGCAAAGCTAACCTCATGGTTGTCTAGCAGCATTTTACAGAAAATCCACATCCGTTCACTTATCAATAGCTACCAAACCAAAAACTGCATCTGTCTGCAAGAAGTGCTATACAAGGCTGAGCTCCCACAATTTCACTGCATTGCAGGCCCCTTCGTAACCTCTGTCCTGTCTTCTTTGAGAAGTGTGGATAAGTGATCAATATCCTCATCTAACTTTTATTGCAATATACTTGGATATTTATCATGTGTACTAATGCACTCTTTTCCACAGGGAATCCTCTTGAGGATCTTTCATTGCTATTTTGTAGTAATTTTCAATTGTTCTAATTTCTTCCTGATTGGAGAGTTCAGGTTAGATATAAGGAAGTCCTTTACTGTGAGGGTGCTGAGGCATTGAACAGGTTGCTCAGAGAAGTGGTAAATCATAGAATAGTTAGGGTTGGAAAGGACCTTAAGATCACCAAGTTCCACCCCCCCTGCCATGGGCAGGAACACCTCGCTCTAAACCGTTATCACCCAAGGCCTCGTCCAGCCTGGCCTTGAACACAGCCAGGGATGGAGCATTCACAACCTCCTTGGGCAGTGTTCAAAGGCCAGGCTGGACAGAGCCTTGGGAAACCTAGTCTAGGGCGAGGCATACCTGCCCATGGCAGGGTGATTGGAACAAGATGATCTTAAGGTCCTTTCCAACCCTAACTATTCTATGATATGATTCTACACTTTAATAAAGTGTTATACCCTCTAAAGGAACAAGGAATTCTAATCACAACAGGTATTTTTTTCTTATAATACTTAATAAGAAAAAAAAAATTCAATCCATGAATCCTGAGAAAAATAACTTCATTATCTAAAATATAAATTTTCAAAGTTATGGATTCCTCTTCTCTAGAATATTAGTGCAAACTGACTACTGGCCAGGGAACACTACAAGCTTATTTTTTCCTTTTCACAATAGCACTCTGGATTAAGAAGCTCCTAGTAGGGATTGAAGCAAACATGTAACCTGAGGACACCTCCTTCCACCTCACCCACATTCCTTTGCCTTTTTGAAGTTTAATTAAAGAATATTTGTTTATGGCCAAAAAATGGTCTCAGATTCCTGCTAACAGACCTGGCTTCAAAACAACACGTAACACAAAATTGTTGTTTTCTTCCTTTTAAACCCCATCTTTGCCAGGTATTTTAGCCCTATGGAAGTTGCCATAAATGCCAAGTTGTATTTCTTTGATAATCAGCTTTCAGAAAAAGCTGATCTTGTAAATGCTTAGGAATATACTGGTAAACAACTTCTTAACATTAAAAAGAATATGCCCTTTGCACATGTAACTATGGAACACTCTAGAGAATTAATTCAAAAACTTCAAAGGAACCAGAAGTACAGCTCAACATAGCCAGAGGAACACATAACTCTTGGATACCTTTGGCAAAAAATACACACCTCATTGAATCAAAGGCAAAATCCAGGACAATAAAAACTTTTAAAATGCAAGCAGCAAATCTGACAACCACCTCTAGAAAGCCTGGGAGAATGCTCTTAAATCATAAACGTTTCTCAAAACAAAACCGGTTTAGCATGGCTCATTTCACTGCATGCAGAACATAAATATACCGAATACTTTATCTAAGTTGATACATCAGGCAAACCTGTCCCAAAGGCCAAAAGCCTGAAATCTGTATTTCTTCTGAGAAGAAACCAGGATTTGGATACCTCAGACCAAGGTATATATAGCTGGCATGCTGCTAGCAATGTGTGTAGCATATAATCACAGAACAGTTTGGGTTGGAAAGGACCTTAAGATTATCTAGTTCCAACCCCTGCACAGGCAGGAATGCCTCACACTAGACCATGTCACCCAAGGCTCTGTCCAGGCTGGCCTTGAACACAGGGATGGAGCATTTACCACTTCTTTGGGCAACCAGTGCCAATGCCTCAGCACCCTCGCAGTAAAGAACTTCTTCCTTATATGTAACCTGAACTCCCCCTGTTTAAGTTTAAACCCATCACCCTTGTCCTATCGCTACAGTCCATGATGGAGAGTCTCTCTCCGACATCCTTATAAGTCCCCTTCAGATACTGGAAGGCTGCTGCGAGGTCTTCACACAGCTTCTCTTCTTGCAGGCTGAACAGCCTGAACTTTCTTGAACAGCCCAAACTTTCTCAGCCTGTCTTCATATGAGAGGTCCTCCAACGTGAATTTCTTCAAACAGCAGATTCACCTCACTCCAACATTAGATGCTGACACTGAACTTTTTCATACATGAGCATAGGTTCTTAGTGGGGACAGTAAAACAATTTACAAGTGTGAACTGGAACACCTCATCACAGCGTCTGCAAAGAAGATCCTTCCTGAAGTTGCCTACACCTAAAATGTTGTATCTGAATAGAGATGTCACTTCCAGATTCTTCTGTACAGAGCTGAGAGGAGCTATGACACCACCCAACAATTCTATGTAGAAAAACAAAGGTTTACCATGTAGATTTAACACTTAGACCTGCCAGATCTAAGAGGGATAAAATACACTCTCACTGATGAGCAAACAGTTGTAACTTCTGGTATGCAATATAATATAAATAGAAGTGCAGCTGGCAATGAAGGCAAGTGCCTCTAGCCACTAAGTACTTGACAATGGATATAAGCCCTATAAATCCAGTCTCACCAGCACCCAGGACCATCTGTAAGAGAACACTGGATCATTTAATGGATTCTGATCAATGAAATTACTGCCGTAGTCAGCACTTGTCTAGATCAGTTAGTTCTGATTTCTCATTACACTTTCCAGGAATTCATGTTTGTGGGATGTCAAGATTACCACTGACAATTAAGGAGGCTAACAGATAAAACAGACCACATAGCTCTCAACCTGATATATCCTGGCGTCTGCAGTCTCTCATATAAATCAACATTCGGTCCGGACTCACTGAGGATTTACACAGTTTAATTTAAAATACCACTATGGACAATAATAAAAAGCTGGAAATATAAAAGTAACTATTTCTGTGAAAGAATCCGTAAAAGGGAGGTAACAGTGCATCAGAGAGTGAAGGAGCAAGCGCACTACAGAAGTCAGATTTCAACTAGAGAAGCCTGTTCAAATCAGATACATTCCAATTACTGCAGGGGCTCAGGCCACAGCCCACAAAAACTACGTCGATTTCTTCTGTCATTTACTTATGAGACAGCAAGGCAAAAAGAAACTCCTTTAGTGCCAAAAAACTTATCAAGGAAGCAGCCATACTTCCTTATCTAAGAAATATGCTGCTTCTACTGCAATGTTTGCATCACCCAAACTTCTCTCAGCACCAGAAGCTACTCACTCAATGCAAGCAACAGCTGCCAGTCACTGCAACTGCTCACTTCACTTGAGCGAACAAGCTAGAACACTAGCTTTCGAACAGTGTTCTCCTCAGTGCTGCCAACACAAGCACTGATGTGCATACATATTAGCAGACAATCTGTGCAGTTAATAAGTAGATTGGTTGAATTACAACAGCATGTTCAACTATCAGAATGTAAGTTTGTTCAACTTAAGACACAGTAAGAACAGAATGAATAGAAGAGGTGCACATTTTGGGACCACTGCAGATTAAGACAATAACAAGAGAGGAAAACATTGCAAGTGCCATGCTACAACTTACTGTAACCAGGATATCATAAAATACTTCAGATTTGGGAGGTAGACCATATCTGCAATGTCTCTTCCATGCCCGTCAGTAATTATACTTAAACATTTCCAAGATCCATCATTAGTCTTACAATCCACAATGAAAGTGTCAAGAGACACACACTATGAGAACGCAAAACAATCCTATGGTCTACTATCGAAAACATGAGACTGGAGCTTAGAAGCCATCAATTCTCTCACTAACTATGGGACTGAATAGCATTGGACAAGTCACCTGATGGTCCTAGGAGTTTTTGGTTTTACAGTTTTATCATTTATTTATTTTCTTTATGAAAAGGTGTTCTGAGAACTAGTGACCAAATGTATTCGATATGAGCCAGAGTATAATCACATTGTTACAGCTGCATCTCAGCTGAAAACCTAATAAAAAAACTTCATTAAAAATTTCCACAAAACATTTGGCTGTTAATGACAAATTATGGCATCAAGGGACTCTCAAAAGACCTCAAGAGTTGCAAATATAGGAGGAAGATACCAACACAACATTTCATTTACTTTCTGAATGAGGATCCAAAATACTCAGGAAACACACATTCATGTTTTGCTTTATGGATACTGTACACGCCACAGGAAGACTTACCAAATGTAGCACAGATGTTTTTGTCT